AAGGGTCCTTGCCTGTCCACTGCCTTTAAGCGTAAGAATCAGTCAATAGTTGTCTACGAACAAGCGGCTTGTAAAAAAGAGTACTAAAGCTGCGTGTTTGTAGCATCCAAAAGGATATCTAGCTGAGCAAAAAAAAAAGAAAAATTCTAGAAAAAGCAGCTCGAGTTGCGAAATTCTCTGACCTGTCTTGCACCAGGCACATTTTCGATGACTTCCTCCATATATGAGTATTTCAACCAAAACTGCATAGCTCTGGGCAAGATTGTGACGGCACGGTCAAATATATTTCTGGCATGATTGATCTGTTTGCTCCTAAATATGAGAAAACTGAAAAATTTATCATAAACTAATCATGATTTCACCAATCAAACCGAGCATAGTAATACTGAGTGGCATACCTCATTTCCATTTCAGCATACTGCAACCAAATTGTGATTGAGCGATGATCCACATCCAAGGCACGCTCAAAAACTGATCGGGACCGCTGTATTTCACCTATGGACTCTTCCCATTTTCCATATTTGATCCAATTTGCAATTTGCATTCTGAACGTGGTATCGAAAAAATGTGAAACAATTATATACTTCAACTCACCTATTTTTCCTGATTCCATCTTCAAATTCCTTCCTTTTCCTCCTTTGAAACTCCAACAACTCATCTGGATCAGTGATTTTGGTCTTAGGAGGTAGCGGGATCAACTCAAGTTCTCTTTCCTTGGCTTCTCGAAGAAGCTGTTCAGCAGTGATTTGTAGCTGAGCGGGAGCCTGAAAGAAAAAAGATATGGATAAAAATGGTCGCCTTGCTTACAAAGTTGGTATAAGAAGAGAAAACCGAGAACAAACAAACCTTGTTTTTGACTTTGGCAGCTTTCTTGGGCAAGCGCAACGGCTTGTTACCCGATTGTTGCTCCTCATCGTCACTCATTCCTAAATAAAGTAGTTACTGGCTTTCCAATTTACGCAACTATGCTACACCACAATTACGAGAGAACGAGCAAATATGCGTTACTTATTAACAAAATTCTAAGCAAGACTATAAAGCTTCGAGATAAAACCTATAAACAAGAGATTTGAGATGCGAATACACAACTCCTAGAAAAACCAACAAACGACGAGTCATTTACGAAAATAACGCTCTCTGCAGAACTCCCGAAACAGCATAAAAGAGAATGAATGAGCCCCTTTCTGAATCATATACGATATATACTATATGTGAAATATCAAACCACGATAGAATAGGCAAACATAAAAGCATGCAAAGTTTTTGAAAATCCAAAATATATTGACGTGATGCTGCACTACTTCGAATCTTTTGTGCAAAAGCGCGTCGCGCGAATGTTTGTCCGAGCCCAGGGCCCGCTCAGACACTCGCCCTTGACGACCGCAGGTGAAAGGGAGTTCAACTCATTGAAATCAGGCGCTCCACCTCCGTTTGGTTCGGA